CGTGTCCACAATAATGATCTCAAAGTTCTCTCCTTTGAATTTCTCCACACCCTCAGCGGCGATCACCACTGGATCCATTTCTGTGTAACTGAATACAACACACAGTCAACATGGTACCTGAACACAACATACAGTCAGGACGGTACTTGAACACAACACAGATCCACCTGTCTGCCAGGTAAGGACTGACTCACCTGCCGTAAAACGGGATTCTGGCTTTGGTGGCGTTTTGTTTCAGCTGATCGAAGGCACCTGTGAAACAGAAGACATGAGGATTAGGACTCACCTGCGACAGGTGATTTAGAGGATGTGAGGTGCTGCGACAGGTGAATAAAAGCAGGTGAGGTGGTGTTTACCTGCTCTGAAGGTGTCGGCACAGATCAGGCAGGTCTTCCAGCCTTTCCTTTGGTAATAATACGCCAGCTGCAGGAAACACAGTCGTCAGAGTGAGGAAGACAACAGGGGGTGTGGCCTATATGTGGAGGTGCGGAGTCTACATAAACAAGAGGGGGGGTTATGACTCACCTTGGAGCAGGTGGTGGTTTTGCCGCTACCCTGCAGACCAACAAACATGATGACATTGTTCTTTCCTTTGGTGGGGGTCCAGGCCTTCACACCGGGGTCCACCAGCTGCAACACAGTTCAGAAACATGAGACTCCAGCGGAACACGTCTGGGTCATGGTACACACGTGTTCTGGACATAAGTCCGACCTTGACCAGCTCCTTGAAGACGGCGTGTTGGATCATCCTCCTCTTGTTCAGCCCTGAGGCCATCTCCTCCAGGTCTATGGCAGATCTGCAAGGACACAAATCACAGATTGACTCACTGCTGCTGGACCAGTTCAGAACCAGAACCAGAACTCCTGAGACTCACTTTACGTTCTCTCTCAGCTGTTTGACCAGTTTGATGTTGACATCGGCCTCCAGCAGAGCAGCACAAACCTCCTTCAGCATCGCATTCAGCACCTGAGAACAACACAACAAACTTTGTGTATTTTATGTATCGACTAAACTGTGTTTGTGGCGTTTGCTTAAAGTCAGACTTTGTGTCCGATCGATCGGCTCCTCTGTGTATTGATTACCTCTTCATTGATGATGGTGGCATTGCTGAGTGACCTCAGCGCCGAGGTGATCTTCCTCCCCAGGTCGGCCAACACCATGATGGCGGTCTGAGTTTATCCTGAAAAACACACAAATCAGTCGATCGCTGACAAACAATCAATAATCAATCAATCTTATTGAAATTAGTCCCTTCAAATGTAGTTTTACTTGAAAAATTACTGTAGCTGTAAGGCTGGAAATTATTTTCTCCTCAACATCACAGATTCTGTATGAAGCTTTTCCTTCTCTTTGCTCAAACTGCAATAATGATTATTAGTATTTATTTTATTGAAGAAATTGTTGGAAAGTGTCAATTTGCATTTCAAAAACCCCCCAAAACGAATATGTATTGTTCACAGGGGAGAAAGAAAGAAACCAGGAAGTATTAACAGTTAAGAAGCTGCAATGAGACAAATCCATCTAGTAAATACTTGGAACTGTTGATATTCCCATAAACACGTATTTGTCGGTCTTCACTGAGATAAACCAATTAAAGAACTGTTTTCTTATTCTCACTGTGCTTCACTTCAACATGAAATTAAAGTCAAAGCTCAGACTGCTTTGTTTACTTCTCATGAGAAAGAAGCTCTATTCATTTCACTGTTTTGAAGTCGGTTGAGCTGGACAGAAATCATTCCTAAACACCAGTTGCATTTTAGAACATCTGAATCAGAATGTTTGGAAAGTTCTGTGGTTCATCAGATCTAATCAAAAACACACAGACCTTACTGAGGTTTAGTGGCGTGAACTCATATAAATAAAGCCTGAGGATGTTTCTTCTGCTCACTTCTGCTCATTTGTCATGAATATTTAACGTTCCAGGTTCTCCATAACGCTCCTTCATGTTTATCAGCCCGACTGTTGATGTGAAATCTTATAAAAGTCTGAACTACGATTTCATCATTTATTGCTGCATCGTTGCATCAGATGGAAATCAGCGTTGTGGCTTCAGTGCATCGTGTTTGTGTGGAAATGAAAAACTTACTGTGTGTATGTGTGAATGCTGTGGAGGGAAACCCCCCTACTGAGCACGCTCAGTGAGTCAGCTGACAGGTGAGGGTGGCAGCTGCACAGCTCCTGCAGGAGAGAAGAACGATGAGCAGCAGGTTGGAGATGGTGGAACAAGAACTAAACTGGACCACAGATCCTGTGTGACGAAGACGCTTCACTCTGACAACAGAGTTTTCCTGCATGGAGGACTTTTGGTCGCCTCCCACAGATGTTTGTTTCAGCCAGAAGTGACATAATTTAGAAATAAAATACATGCTGATGTATTTCAATCAGTTTTGTCAAATGTGGTTTAATTTCAACAGCATACTAGACATTTTTCTTTATCAGATGTGGAAAAAAAGAGAGAAAAAAAAAGATTTCTGTCAAACAAGGTAACAAAAACTCCTCGCCGTCACTGTTTGGAGACGATCGTGCTCACTGTTGTGTTCATGCCCAAAAGTCTGGCTCTGAGCAGGAAAAATCAGCTGCACACCTCTGTGTTTCAGAGAGCCAACCAAGACAGACGTCCTCCCTAATAAACTCTCAGCTGTCCTGAGCTTAATCCTCACTAGGGTCGCTGGGGGGCTGGAGCCTATCCCAGCTGACTTAGGGCGAAGGCAGGGGACACCCTGGACAGGTAACCAGTCTATCACAGGGCTACACTTAGAGACAGACAACCAAGCACACTCACAATCACCAGTTAACCTCAACATGTTTTTGGAGGTAGCGGAGAGAACCCACGGTGCACGGTGCCCCCACCGGAACGTGAACCGGCAACCTTCTTGCTGCGAGTCAACAGTGCTAACCAACTGTGCCACCTTGCAGCCCCTGACGCAATATCAGACTAAGATAAAACAGAAGACGGAAAATGAAATGAAAAATACTTTATTTATCCCAGAAGGAAAATTCAATAAAAATCAACAAGCAGCAGATTTAAAGTAGTCGAACCAAGAAGAAGAATTGGTTCAAGAAGAAGCATTAGATATGACATAAACACGTGATCCTGAATACTCAGAGGGTCTACATGTTGTTTTATCTTCAGACTAACAGAGACTGCAGTTTAAATTACATTTTACAGACTAAATTACGCCCCTAATCACAAGTCTATGTTAAGTTTCGGGTCAAAATAAACCCGTTTTCAGTTAAACGGGTTTATTTGAACCCACAAAAACACAGAAATAACTAAATATTCACCAAATGACCATCGTTCACTCTTCAGGCTGACGCTCTGTGAGCACATCATCGATAATCACACTGACTGATGTTATTGTTTTTATCGGCATTATCAGGCTGCTGTTTCGAACAACATGTCAGCTGTTTACGGAGTTCCTCGATGCTAACAGCTAGCGGCTAGCAGCTAACTACTCCCGTTGGCACAGAACGGGGGATTAGCCGTTAGCTCCGTTAGCCGTGCTGTAGCCGTTAGCTCGGCGCGTTTCTACTGACACTGACCGGCTGACCCGCGGTGTAGAGGACAGGAGAGAACCTAAGGGAGCCAGTGACACAGAAACAGAGAGATACGTTGGAGACTTACCGAGACTCGGTGAGTTTGATCAAACCGGAGCAGCAACAACCGCAAACTGTGAGAGAGACGTCATCAAATCTGGACTGACCCGGAAGCTCCTCTTCTTCTACTACTTTTACTGCTGCTGCTTCTTCTTCTACTACTACTTCCAATGCTGCTTCTTCTGCTACTTCTACGGTTGCTGCTTCTTCTTCTTCTTCTTCTTCATCATCATCATCATCATCATCTTCCACTGCCGCTGTGATAAAACAATCGAAACTAATGAAGGAATAAATAAACAAATACTAGCATCTCCCTATTTCCTGATTCACAAGATAACACACTAACCTGATTGCCCATAACCTGCAGCTAAATCAGGTGTGTATGTAAAAGACCTAAACTCTGTAATCAGGAGAATGTAAAAGATTACAGCTAAAAAAGAAACAAACAAAACAAAATCTGTAACAACCACAGACTGCATAGAAAATATGCACACAGCCTCTTAAACCTGCATTTTTCCCTCTAACCTCACGTGATTAATGAAGAAGCCAGATTGTATAGAAGTCTGTGAGGAAATGATCATACTTTGGTTTTGATTTGTTACCTCAGTGCACATTTTCCTAATGGGTTTATGATCTCAGGCACTATATTCAAGTCTCATTAAACACAGCATGATCATTTACTAAATTATGGTCCCAATTAGAGAAAAATTGAGGATAAACCAGAAGTTTAGGATAGTGCTAATATGTGTTTAGTCTGAACCACCAATGTAGATTGTGGATGTAAACCGGTCATCCTTCCATTGTTCTATCTGCATGTTAGAAAATCAAACAACTTCCAAGCATCAACATACACTATAAAAGATAGTTTTTGGGCTAACAACAACAGCAAAAAGCAACAATTTTGAACAATGTTTTTAAGTTATGGCAACCTCTAATGAGATAATGTTCCACCAACAAACTACACTGAGTTAGAGGGGTTAACTTTTCCTCTACAGTCAAAATTATTTTTAGTTATCAGTTTTAAGTGTCTCAAATTCTGGTCATGTTAGCATAGAGGAGGGGACCTGAAATCCTAAACTGAAGGTAAAGAAAAATTAGATTATAAAGCTAATTTCATCCAGTTAGCTCAACTTGAATGTAATTGTAAATCAACTAATGCAGAAAATGTAGCTTAAATTACACAAAATATAATGCTTTAAACATTGCTTATAACTTAAATAGTTTATCTAAACCAGTAAATTGGACATTAAAAAACAAACAAAAAAAAAACTCAGTCACTGTTTTATAGGGACACCATCACTGCACCCTGGGCTGAGATGATTCCAACTGAATTTGTGTAACAATATGTTCATCAATGATGATCAATAATCAGTCAGAGATCAATAAAAACAAACTAAGAGAGTTGCTGCTACAAATTCAGATTTTATTACAAACATTCATTAAAATAAAGTCTATGATGAAGATGATGATGAAGGTGAGAGGTCACTGAGCTGGCTGCTGCCCACCGTCTTCCACTGAAGGATCTGATTGGACAGAGTTTCCATCTCTGCAGCCTGAGCCAGCAGCAGGGCGAGCGAGGAGTCCTGACAGAGAGAGAGAGAGAGAGAGCAGTGAACTGGTGAAACTGGAAACCAGCAGCAGCTGACCAGCTACAGATTCAAATACAAACTGATTGACTCATCATTGTGAGCGCGTTATTGGTTCCAGTGAGGTCATGTGACTGACCAGCAGCATGAGGCGTTCTCTAGTAGAGGTCCAGCTGTGGGCGGAGCTTAATTTCTCCTCCAGCGTCTCTATGAAGTCCATCATCAGCTTCACCGAGTTGACCACGAACCTGGAACACAACGCAGACCAGAACAGACCAGCACAGTGAATCAAATGGGATCACAGCGATACATCTGCCTGGTCAGCGATCTGTCTGACCAGGCAGATGTAGCTCCGGTCAGACTGGCTTCTGCTGCTGGAGATGTGGTTGTCATGGTGACACCAGTTACCTGTGCAGGTGAGCGGGAACAGGCAGGTTGGTTCGAGCCAGCGGCTTCATCAGTCTCTGTCTGAGACTCTTCTGTTCTTTCAGGATGTCCTGCAGGTGTGAAGCCAACATCTGCAGCAGCTGGAACCTCTGAGCTGCAGAACAAACAGCAGAGTTACACACCTGGGTGAGAGGGGGCGGGGTTCCAACACTCTGCTCTGATTGGACGGCAAGTAACTTTTCAAAATGAACTGGTGAGACAGAAGGCCGCGAATAACTGAATAACTGAATAACTTGGATGGTCTAAATAAACCTGTAAAGAACAAATCTGTAAATTCTAAAACTGTACTTAGAAATCAGTAATCGGTAAATCTGTCATTACAAATAAGTCGTTATAAATCTGTAAATTAAACATCTGTAGATAAAACATGTGTAAATTTTATATTTACAATTCTAAAAATGTAAATTACATAAATGTAATTGAAAATCTATATTATAATCTATAAATTATAAATCTGTAATTACAATTCTGTAAAATTGTAAAACTCTGTAAAAATGAATGGGAAATTAGAAATATGCAAATTCTAAATCTGTAAATTATAAAACTGATTTTAAATATACAAATTTTTAATCTGGAGTTATAATTTTGTAAATTATAAATGACAAAAAAAGAATAGATTATTCTAAGCATTATTACTAAGCATTATTAGACTGAAATGCTTCGAAACAGAAGAGGATCAAAGATGGCGCCCTGTGGAACACCAAATTTATCTATTAACTGTAAATTACATGTTTCTCCAGGCCTCCAGTCAGCCGACACTCTGCCAACAAATGTTTTATTTGTCAAAACAAAGGCAGGAGACTCTCTACAACAACAAAATATCATAGAAAAAAAAAATCTGACAGCTGGAAATGACTGATTCTCACCGAGGTGGAAACTGTGAGCGACGTCGGCGCTCTGCTTGTCGACTTTCAGCAGCTCCAATTGCAGCTGCAGCTGAATCAATCATCACAACAGATTTAATCAGAATAAACCGTTTACAGGACACTTAAACATAAACACAGTCAAGGAGGGTGTAAAAACTGTCTGACACATCAAACCCAACATCTAAATCATACTGAAATGTTGTACGACTGTTTGATTCTGGCAAGAAAAGCCTCAAACATCTACCAGTGAAGGAATTTTGCAGGAAAAGTGTTCAAACATTTCCGCAAGTCGATGTCAGTGATGGTGGACATTTATATAAAGATGTTAGCTCTGTTAAAGGAGACGATAGCAGCCTTTAAGGCCAAAGACGAATATGACATCTATTGATATTTTTATATATAAATAAGTAAATGACTGAAAAAGCAGGTTTACTTTGTGGTGTTGTTTAAAGAGATCACCTTTATGTGTGTTCATCATTTCAAAGAGGATCAAATATCCTCTAATATGCTAAAAAGTTTTATCATTTCCATCAGATGTATTTATCGTTTCACATGACTGTGTGGTTAACTTAAGCTTTTCTGCTTTAGAGCTGCAACTCTCTTTCACTTTTTTATTATAAATTAACTGTTTGCTCCACGAGATGACGTTAAACAAAGAATTTCAGGGCTGATGATGATAATTATCTGCAAAACATCGGCAAACATTTTATATTTCATTAAAGAAACATATTTATTCAAAGTGTATCTGTGTATTTACAACAAGTAAACAGCAGGAAACTTCTTTACATTTATATCTGACATCATTCAGAGTTCATCATCTGATCGACTAACTGGCAGGTTGATCAATAATAAAGTGACTGTTGGGTGCAGCGCTGCATCAGACGAGTTTAAGAGTAAAATAAAAACGATGATGGTCATTATTTCAAGGCGTCACACAATCACACAAAGCAACTTCAGACTGAAATGTACCTCATCCAGCTGTTTCTGCATTGTGATTCGCTGTTCAACCTGCTGCACCTGCGAGGAGAAGGTGGGGCTTTGGCTCGAAGAGGCGGAGTCTATCTCCTCCTGAGGACAGGTGGAGATAGAACAGATCAGGTCCAGGTGAGAAATTTTGGCTTGGATGTTATTTAATAGCACAGATTTTAGAAAGTAAATGTTATAACAATTATTTTTCATGATTGAATAGAAGTCTAAAGCAGGTATCTGTTTACTTTTTGTTCAGAACTGTTAGGTGAGATCAGGTGAGGATGAAACCAGCACACCTGGACTGAATGAACACGGAGAGTTTAAGTCTGAATGAATCACAGCTTCAAGTCTGTGCAACCTTTATTCTGAGGGTCACCCAGAGCTGCTCTGCTGAAGTCTGGATGGAAAAAGTTCAATGAAATCCACATTTTCTGCTTTTAAATAAAATAAACTTTCATAGATCTGATAGTGGGTATTAAACAAGTTTTATCTGGAATTGCAACAACAGATAATTTATTCTGATGGAGATCCAGTATAATGCTGCTTTTCTACTACATCAAGAACTTTAAGGAAACAATGAAGAAGTGTGAGTTCCAGTGACGCAGCATGAGACTCAATGATGCCTTAAATCAGGGGAGTCGAACTCCGGTCCCCGAGGGCCGCAATCCTGCAAGTTTTAGATGTTTCCCTCTTCCAACACACCTGATTCAAATGATCAGGATTGTTATCAGGCTTCTGCAGAGCTTGATGATGAGCTGACCATTTGAATCAGGTGTGTTGGAAGAGGGAAACATCTAAAACATGCAGGATTGCGGCCCTCGCGGACCGGAGTTCGACACCCCTGCCTTAAATAAACCGATCAGGTATCCTCACCTGGGACACAGCTCCTATAGAGACACATCTGGACAGCAGGCTGGCAGCTGGAGTCACTGAGAACGGAGACACATCCCACCGATGCATCTGAAACACACTGCAATATGTCACATATGTCAACTTCTTTTGCAGTTCATCAGAAATAACAGGTCAGTGGACTCAGCTAACAGCACAACAAGTACATCAAATTGAACTTGTCGCTCTGTAAGATGCCGAATTAAAGATGAGCTTTGAAACAACCTGAATCCTGCTGGATTTTCTTCTGGCACCTTTCGTGATTATTTCAGAACATGAGTAACAGCTAACTTTGCTTATTTTTAAACGTGGTTCGGCATCCTAGAAATTACGCGGGTGAAATTTGTCTCAAATTAACTCCGGTTTTAGTGTAACTCCGGCTCCGTTAACCCAACTGCTAACAGTCGGTTTAGCAGGTTGGATATCTATTCTTACCGTTTAAACCTAAAAATCTCCGTTGGACACCGAACTAACCGAACAGACTCCGGCTGAACCCGCCCTGTGGTTTGTTTTCTCTCCGCTCTCCTTCTCCTGAAAAAACTAGCAGCTCAGAGGCTTCTGTCTGCAGCAGCGCCCCTCAGGACAGCAGGAGAACTGCACCCTACTCACAAACTAATGTTGATTTTTCCTTTCATTTTACACATTTCTTTTGCGTGTTTTTGAAATAAATAATAAATAATCATAATAACACACAAGAATATTGATAATATTGCAAAAAAAAAACTGCGAATTTACATGTTTGATGTAGAAAACCTGTAACTGTGAGTAACACTAATATGTCATTTGTTTTTATAAAGACTGGATTTTAAAAGATATATATATATATATATAATTACTGTCAAAATATGTTCAATATAATATAATAAATCATAATTTCACAAATACTTCCTTTTTACCTAACAGATACATTTGAATTTAATTGTAATACTGCAAATATATAGCTAAATTCACTTACAATGAGTGGTAATTAACAGGAAAAGAAGCATTAGCCCTATGTTTTTAAATATATTTCAGTGTGTGTGCCTGTGTGTGTGTGTATATATTTATTATTACTATTTTCTATATTGTATATTGAAAAGCCAAGCGATATGTCTCATCTTCATCATTGTTCATCAAACTTTCTTGTGCGCTGACGTCACTCAGTGCATCCTGTGCAGGACTCCAGACTGCAACCAAAATGAGTTTTTTTTTGAGAGTGCACAAGTTAAAACTTCAAGTGGTCACGTTGCTGTGAGCACATGACGATCATGAAGCTGTATTAGTGTTGCTGTAACTGGCACAGGAAGCCGCTGTGTTCACCACAGTGGTGGAAAGTTGAACTTTTAGGAGCGGCCATCTTGATTCAGTCACAGAGCAACTTTTATTCTATGAAAATAAGTGTGTGTATAAGATGTATATGTTTACAAATACTTATTTTTTCTGTTAACTGTCATCCATCCATCCATCCATCATCTCTACACCTTAATCCTCACTAGGGTCGCGGGGGGCTGGAGTCTATCCCAGCTGACTCAGGGTGAAGGCAGGTTCACCTGGACAGGTCACCAGTCTATCACAGGGCTACACTTAGAGCCAGACAACCAAGCACACACACATTCACACCTATGGACAATTTAGAATCACCAATTAACCTCAGCATGTTTCTGGACTGTGGGAGGAAGCTGGAGAACCCGGGTTCTCCAGCTTCCTCCCACAGAGAACCCACGCTGCACAGGGAGAACATGGAGACTCCACGCAGAAAGATCCTGTGTGTCCTCACCGGGACGCCAACTGGCAACCTTCTAGCTGCGAGACAATGATGATAACCACTGAGCCACCTTGCAGCCCATGACGGAACCCGTAAATGAATATTTTGTTGAACAACTCTTTGAGCCAGTCACTGCAATCAGGTATTTTCTGTAACTCTCAGTCAGACTTCTGCACCTGCTGACAGGTGTTCTGGCCCACTGCTCATCAGCAAAGTGATCTAATTTGTCTGGAAAAATTTTGTTTTAATAAATTATTCTTTTCAACCACAATTCAAAAGCAACATCTTCTTTCACTAAATTAGAATTTAGCAAATTTGTATTTATCATTACTTTTTTCAGGTTCTAGTTATTTGAGTGACTGTTGTGAATTTTGTAATTTTTTTAATGGAAGGTGATGGATACATTTTAGGACGACTGTATGTGCATAAAAATATAGAAAATGTATGTATATTTATATATACACATATATGAAACACATGCATTTATATTTATTCTTTTATTTTTTATATTGTATATTGATGGACAAAATACTGAGGATTGTTTTTTTCTGTTTTCAAGGTGCCCAATAGTCTGTGGGAATGTGAAGGAGTTGTTGGAGAGCTACACTGCTGTGATCAATACGAGGGACATGAGTGATACAGCCCTGTGCAAGGTGAAAGAGAAACATGAAGCAATCCTCCCATGACCAGACAAAGACAAGTTGTCCAGAACAGAGACAACTTTCTCCTCCGTAGATGGCGTGATAAGAAGAATATAATAGTGACAGTCCTTCAACATCCTCGTTTTGATAGTGTTGCTTCTTCTTGACCCACACTTATATTTTAGTTGAACTATTTCAATTATATAGAAAACGTACATATGTGTATTTTTTTGTGGAAAAAAATAAAAATATATATATATATATATATGAGTCGTGTCTTATTGAAGTATTAATAGCGCATGTATGTGTTATTGTACAGGAGGCCTATGGCGCATGCCCAAAGGAGTGCTGTGCTCCCATTGGCTGACAGCTGTGACGTCGGCGCCTGTCAGTGTAGTGAGTCGGGGCGGCTACTCGCTGCTGCTCTTCTTCACTTCAACTTAAACTCACTCGTTTTGTCAGGAAAGATTTGATCAGACGACATTTGACCGACCAGGACGAGCAGCTCGGTGTCGTGTTCGCTCCGAGGCAGTAAGTAAAACCGAACAGCTAGCAGTTAGCTGTTGTGTAGTCGCTGTTAGCAGGCTAAGCTAACTCAGCTTGAGTTTGTACATCAGGATTATAAGGAGGCTAACGGTGCTGCTAATGCTGCTGTGTGTGCCTCAACATGTCCCAGCTCCTTACCTCAAGAGAACAAACCGGTTAAAGTTATTATCCGCCGTCTGCAGCTGATGATCCTGTTCAGTCAGTGTCTCAGCTGATCTCTAGTTTTTATTAAACACACTGAGGCTGTGCTGTTGGATCATGAACAGCACCTGACGTGTTTACACAAACACCAGAGACTCTTCCAATCATCAGAACAAAAGAAACAGTTCATCTGTTCAACTAAAAATAAGTTATTTAACCAGTCTTACAGGTTACAGAGTAGTCGATGTTCCAGTTTCTCTGGTGACGTTTGAGCTCCACGTGTCTCTGTGGACTTTACAGTCCGATGCAGTGAATCCAAAACACATCAGGACGCTGGTCATGGGGTGGATGCTTTAGAGCAGCCTGCTCTGTAGTCTGTCTTCTGTTGTTCAGCAGTCAGTGTAGAGTTGTGACTTCAGCTGCAATGCTAGACTGTATGTGTAAGCATGAAGCTGTTTTGATAATCAGCTGATCAGTTGGAGTCACTTTTAATAAGCAGAAGTCTAAACTCTGTGACGAATTTCTGGTTACTTTACAAAACAAAACATTTGGGAAACACGAATTGTGACTTTTCACCATTTTCTGACATTTTGATGCAACCAATCGATTCATTCATTCAGCAAATAATCCACTGATTATTCGGTAATGGGAGTAGTGGTCAGTTGTGATTCTCACCAGTTCACACGAATCATTAACGTGGTGAACAGCTGACAGAGTAAACCAGATGTTCTCTGACATCGTATTTATATTACTGAGATGGATTATTTAAAATTCCATTGTAAGACTTTATATATACATAATAGTGGTGGGACACAGTTAAAAAAATAATCTAATTAATTGGAGACTTTGTAATTATTAATTGCCATTAGTCACATTTTTATCAAATAGCAATATTATTAATAAGCAAAGTTTTTCAATTCAAATAAACTTTGGTTGATGGCAGAATCAATGAATGGACATATATGTGAAATTAAACAACAAAGATGTTTATTTGTCATCTATATTTATCTGCATTTTTCATCCGTCTACATTCACAGATTTGTGCAAACTCAAAGTGCAATTATAGCGATTACATTCAACATTTTTAGACTTTGTGTCTTAAAACTCTTTGTTGCACAGTTGCCACACAACCATTCACTTACACAAGCTGCCATCGAGAAATTAGGAAAACAAAACAAAAAAGCTTTCCTTTCAAAATGAACGCTTTTTGAGAATGTGTGAGTTAAAGCTTCAAGTGGTCGCATTGGTGTGAGTACATGATGATCATGAAGCTGTAATTGTGTTGCTGTAACTGGCACAGGAAGCTGCTGTGTTCACCACAGTGGTGGAGCGTAGAACTTGTATGAGCGACCACCTTGATTCAGCCACAGAGCAGCTTTTGTTTTACAGAAATACATCAACTAACTAAATAACTGCATTATCAATTGATCTGATGATTATTTTCTTCATTGCTCTGTATTTTTAAAAAAGTCTATATATATGTACATATTTGGGTTTTTAGTCTGTTGGTTTGACAGAATTAAGCATCTGAAGATGTCACATTTGTCACAGATGACTGTCAAATTTTAATCAAAACCAACATTTAAAAAAAAAAAGAGCAGATAAATTGTGAATGAAAGGAATTCTGAAATTGAAAATACCAGTTTATTTGTTCAGCAGAGGGAGAACTTCTTTAATGAGATGATCTGAAGAGTTTCTGTGTTTCTGTCTGTTTTAAAGCGACCTCAGACATGTCAGGTGTGTTTATGATGGCGAGCTCTGACACTGAGTCGATGATGATGTTCTGTATGAGGGACTCATACGAGGGTCTTTACTCTCCTGCAGGGATTTCACCGTCTGATCTCATTAACAGCCACTGAAGAAGAAGAAGAAGAGGAGGAAGAGGAGGAGGAAGAGGGGGAGGCGGAGCAAGAGCGCTGTTAAAGCTGATCCACCATCACTCGGCTGGACATGAACTCTGCTCTACTGCTGTAGACTGAGAGACAGACAGGAGGACAGACAGGCGGACAGACAGGAGGACAGACAGAAGGACAGACAGGAGGACAGGTAGAGGGTTCGTACCTGACTGCAGGACCAGATGGGAAACAGCGCACTGAAGTCTCACCTTGAAACCTCCCAGAAGACGGGAGTGTTTCAGCTGACGGGAAAAGGCCTGCAGGAGGTGAGATCACTGTGTTTACTGGTCAACACTGAGGAGACACAAACAGACACACAAAATCCGAACAACACAACAAAAGAAACCAGACCCACAAAGCAGAAGTCTGTATATGACACAACAGACAAGTTAATCTAAAATTACACATAAAACATCAGCAGTACATGTAACACGTCACTGTCACGGTGTTGCAGAATAAGTTACTTTGAACAAATCCTGCACACATTATCTTCGATGCAGTTCATGTTCTAAAATTGTTCAACTGGTCAACAGAAGACAAATATAGTGGCTTCCATCTCT